ACACGGAAATTAAATCAAAAATGAATTAGTTTAATGTCAAAAACACGAAAAGTTGTAATAAATAAGAAATCTTGAACAGCATATAGAGAATTGGATTTGATAAAATTGTCTAGCTCTAAGGTATACTGTTCAGGAGCAGGCGTGCATTCATAACTGGACAACCTAATATATACCTAGAGTAAGTTGGGCTCTTCTGAAGTTTATACACTAATTTATTAGTACTCTATCTGAAGATGAGGTTGAAAAACTCTTGGTTTAACCATTTAAGCCCATAAACTAGACGGATCAACTGAAAGTTTTTTTAAACGACTCATGAAACAAAATTTCATGATAGATGGTTGACTGAAAGAAAACTTTTGTCTTGTATGTGCACTTTCTACTTGAACTGATCAAATGCTGTTTTTGTAAGATGTTTCTCGAATTTAGCCTGTATTTTTGCATTTGAGAATTAAAAACGTATAAAGAAAGTTTTATTTATTGCACATAAATTTGTTTGAGATTCAGCACATATGATGAGATCGTTGAAGATGGATGAGATTCGAGTGGCTTGAGATCAGTTGATGAAGAAGAGAGATCGGATTCAGATTTGGGCAGTTTCATGGTCTTTTCTTCGATTTAGGCCATCAGTGGATACATCAGAGTGTAATCATCAGTATCGAATTGACTTGAGTTGGCCAAGATTGGGAATTCTTGAGTAGCTTCCATTGTTTTGTTTTGTTTGATTTGAGTCTAAATGACTGTTGCTCTATTCTTTTAATTTCCATTCATATATGCTTGAGATTGAGGAGTTCGTTCGCCAAGTACACGGGTTCCCGGTATCTCCTTTTTGGCTCATCCAAAGAGAAGGAAAGCAAAAGTCGATTCTCGGTTGATTCCTCGTTTCTCTCAATCTCACCAAAACTAAAATGGGAGAAAACAGTCTCACTTGCTCAATACGCTGTTTGCACAATAAGAAAATCGTTTTATTTTTGCAAAATTTGTTGGATATTCTTTCTTTCTTTCACAGTCTTACACTTTTCGATTATTTCAAATGACTCATCCTGACTTTTCGGATGTTATTTTTTGCTTGACAGTACTTAAAACTTTTTTTAATGCGTTATAAGAATCCTTCCCGGTGATTCAATCAATTTCCGCACCATTCCAAGTTCCGAAAATCCAAGACTATATTTAGAGATCCCTTTATCAAATAACGGAAACTGACTCAATCAAGGAAAAAAATCAGCTCTGGATCAACTATTATCTATCACGAATAGTTTAGAGTTTTAGGCCATCAGTGGATACATGAGAGTGTAATCATCGGAATCGAATTGACTTGAGTTGGCCAAGATTGGGAATTCTTGAGTAGCTTCCATTGTGTTGCTTTGTTTGTTTGAGTCTAACTGGCTGTTGATCTATTCTTTTCAGTCCCAGTTTAGGGGAATCTGAAGAAACCATTCGGTTATTTTTTGGGTTCTTTTTTGTTAGAAGAAACATTTAGGTGATCAGAGAGACGAATGGCGAAAAACTTAAAGAAAAATCTCTAAAGACCAAAAAAAATTAGAGAAATTGCTTTTTTTTCAGGAGTCCGTGCAGAAAATAAAAAGCAAATGCCTTTTTCAATCGATTAGCACGAGTTTGTAACTCAAAAACACTGAATTTCCTTGTTTTCTTGTTTTCAAAATCTCTAACAATTTAAGAGCAGCACAATTTTGATACAAGAATCTCCCAGAGTTTCGATAAAAGTTTTAGTTGTAGAAAAAAATGTCTCCTTGAAAACGTTTCTGAAAGTTACCCGCAATGATTACAAATCTTTTGCCAAATTTTAAAGGCTAAAGGTTAGTTTAGCTATTGCACAATAAAATGAATCTTTCCTTTTTGTCAAAATGATTCCATTTGTAGAAATTGCTGCATCAATCACATCTTTATCTCTCTCATTGAGCGAATTAGGGAGCTTTGAAGGAGTTCGATTTTCTGTCAACAACACTATTTAGTGAATTGGTCAGCCCTGGCTCATTTCCAATTGATGGTTTTTGTGAGTAATAAGCTGAATTGAACTTTTAGTGAGTTTTTAATTGAAAATTATAAAAGATGGGGCTAAAACTCTTACGAGAACTGGGTAAGCCTTGGAAGTATACTTGGCTTTTGTAGATTTGGTTCCTTTTCTTTACAGATTTGGTTCCTTTTCGGTACAGATTTGGTTCTTTTCTCTACGGATTTGATTCCTTTTCTCTACAGATTTGGTTCCTTTCTCTACAGATTTCTTGGTCTTTTGTAGTTTTGTGATACGTAACTTATTTGTTTTATTTGAAACAAGTTCTAAATTTGTTCAGAAAAGAAAACGAGTATGGAATAGTGTTTGAAATCAAAAAAAACAATAGGTAGTAGATAAGTGAGATCAGATTTCCAGGGTTGAGAGCGATAACACAAAAGTTTCTTGGAGATTCATTTTTTTGAAGATAGTGCATTATGAATTTGAATATTCACAGGTTAAGTAATAGCTATGCATCCAGAATTTCCAGCAATCCAGAAAGAATGCATCCAGAATCCAGAAAATGAGCACTTTCTTCAAAAGAAACTAATTTTGGTGTCAATAGAAAAGTTGTAGAGAATCAAAAATTAGGCTTATAGCCAAATTTCCAAAAAGAAACACTTAGTAGTTTCGCTTAAAATGCAAATTTTGTGAAAATTCGTAAATTTGACATTTCTTGAAAACCAGTTTTTGAATCGATCTGAAAATTTGGATATAAGCTTAATTTTTGATTCTCTACAACTTTCCCATTGACACCAAAATGGGTTTCTTTTGCAGAAAGTGCTCAAACAGGGACATCTCCAGTCCTCCATTTTTGAGTTTCACATTTGTCTCACACACAAACCAAAATCCTACTACGAAAGAGGAACAATAGCCCGGAGTTTTCAATTCACAAACCCAATAGATAGCAAGAGCAATACTTGACCAAAAGGCTTTTTTGCAAGACGAATGAATTTTCCCGTATCTGTTTGACTCTAAGGTTTTGGTTTTGATTAAAACGTTAACGTTAAAGCGTTTTGTTTAAAACTTGTACTTTATTTTCTTGTCTTTAGAGAGAAAACAAATCAATAAATCAATCAAAGTTTATTATAAACTGTGAGATCAAATTTTCATGAGTTAAAGCCAGATCTTTGGCAGAGATCGTTTTGATGGCAGTTGGCAAGCAAGGTGGTGAACGAATTTATTTGCAGATGAGTGCGGAGATGAGTGAGGTGATGACTAATTGACGGATCCGTTAAGATAAGTGCAAAAGCAGCTTTAGAGCAAATCTTGATCTTTAGAATCTTCAGAATAGAATAGATTCACGGCAACAACGGGTAGATGCACACATAGTCATCGCTGTCGATTTGGCACGAAGTCTCGCAAATGAGGAGCTCATTTTGATGAAACATTATGTAGCTTTTGAGGATATTCAGCTTTGGGCCTTGAGGATATCCAATAACTGAGTTTTAAATTCTAAAACTCTCGAATTTCCATCTTTATATCAAGAGGATTGAATTGCTTAAACTCGATTCGCCAAGCTGTCCCCACAAACATTTCCGAGCACTCTTTCCCAGATCATGAGTCAATCCAATTCTTAACCTTTACTCATCCCGAGAATCGTGCCTTTTTGCTGAACAAATCTGAAAATCTTTTATTTTCTTTTGATTTCTTTTATTTTCTGTCATTTTCTTTTATTTTCTTTTATTTTCTTTCCTTTTTCATTCTTTCATTCGACAAATCTTTCATTTTTTTCCTTTCAGCCTTGCAAAATGAGATAAACAATGGGTTTTAGTGCACAAATTTTTGAGAGAAACTTTTGAGCGCTGAGAGAAAGTAGGAGAAATCTAAGTTTAGTTAAAAATCTACGTTTAGTTAAAAATAAAAAGGTAAGAGATTGAGGAATTGAGAGAAAATAAGAAACTGAATTCACGATTTAAAGAAAAATTGTTTATAGTTTTGACAAGAGAGTCATTTTCTTGGAACTTGCACTTTCCTCTTTCACTCTTTCTATTCTCCTCATCCCACTTTCCCACTTTAGGCTATTTATATCGTTTTGCCAAAAACCCCATTCGTAGACTCAGATATTTTGTTGAATTTATCGACCGGAACTCGAGATTTACGTAGATTTTGTAAAAGTAAGCAAAGATGAGTCAACTAGCCTCCGTTTCGATGAATAATGTCTGGATTTTTGAAAACGATGAATAATGTCTGGATTTGATTTGGGAAAACTGAATTTTGAAAAAAGATTTTACAAAATTTATTTGCTTTAAACGCTTACAAGCAAAATTCTCAAGCTTTACCTTTTCAAAAAGTCATTTTTTGGTCACAATTTTGCTTACTTCTTTGTTTTCATTGTTTGCAATTGGGGACAATTGTGGGACCTTTTATACGCGACCCGCCCCTTTCGCCATTGGCAATCTAACTTTGAGCACACGTATCTTGGTGTTGGGTTGTTCAATTTAATAGTTTTTATACCAATCGATAGAGAAAGACGCGGCGCATCTAATGATTTTTAAAGCATTTAAATTGGACAACCCAACACCAAGAAATTGGGGCTCAAAGTTGGATTGCCAATGGCAAGGTGGGCGGGGCGCGTATAAAAGGTCGCCCCACACCTTTGCCATTGGCAATCTAACTTTGAGCTCAAATATCTTGGCGTTGGACTGCGAATTAAAACAATTTCTGTACCAATCGACAGAGAACGACTTGGCGTATCTAATGATACCAAAAATATTGAAATTGAACAGACCAACACCAAGATATTTGAGTTCAAAGTTAGATTGCCAATGGCAAAAAGGGGCAGGGCGTGTATAAAAGGTTCGTCACTATTCTTTATATCATTAGATGCGCCAAGTTTTTCTCTATCGATTGGCGTATCAAATGTCCGATAACCATTTAAAAAAGCTTTTCCCCAATCCCTCGATTTGCATTGCATTTCTCTGTTTTTTGCAACTCTTGAATACCAAATTTATTTCATTACTAAAGAGTTCTCGTTTGGTTTTGCCATTTATCCCATCATCACTTGGGTCTGGGGCACTGATGACCAGCCTGAATTGATTGATCTTTTATTTGATTCATATTGGGCTTGTTTTTAATTGTTTACAATAAAAGCTAAATTCAAAAAAGCAAATTGAAACATTCATTCACAACATACCACCATTGTTCATGGGAAGAGCTAAACAATTGTAATTTCAAGTTTAGAAACGATTTTTTTACAAACCTTGTGGTTGTGATTGTCCGATTGGGGTCGGGATGTTCCAGGCTGAAATTTGGACTTGTTTTTGGACTTGTTTTTGGATTTGATCTTGGATTTGATCTTGGATTTGATCTTGGATTTGATCTTGGATTTGATCTTGGACTTGATCTTGGATTTGATCTTGGTCTTTGATTTGATCTGATCTACTATTCTAACTTCAAATCAACTTCAAATTTTAGTTCAAAACTTTCAAAATCAAATTCCTTACGTCCAGAGACAGGTTGAGAAGATTGGGTTTGAAAATCGGGAGATGAGAGAATTGGTGGCGATTGTCCGACTGGGGTTGGCACGCTCCATTCTGGAATTAAGCTTTTATTCTGGAGCTTTTAGTATTGTTAGAGAATTTTTCGCAGATCTTAAGACATTTGGGATTTCTTGAAATTAATGATTTCTTTCTAATGGCTTAAAACCGACGATCATTTCCGGCTGGTTGAGATTGTGGGAAAGTTTGGACTGGCTGAGCTGGTTGAGGGATGCTCCATTCTGAAATTTCAAATAAAATAGAGGTTTTAATAAAGAATTTCATGTTTTATCATGTTTTATCATGTTTATTCATCATAGCTTTGAATCTATCAACTTGTCTTAGTTGAATTTCTTTGTTAAAACTCACGATCTCCAGTTGGCTGGGATTGTGGGAGAGTTTGGACTGGCTGAGCTGGTTGAGGGATGCTCCATTCTGAAATTTCAAATAAAATAGAGGTTTTAATAAAGAATTTCATGTTTTATCATGTTTTATCATGTTTATTCATCATAGTTTTGAATCTGTCAACTTGTCTTAGCTGAATTTCTTTGTTAAAACTCACGATCTCCTCCAGTTGGCTGGGATTGTGGGAGTGGTTGGATTGGTTGAGGGATGCTCCATTCTGGAAATTTAAAACATAGATCTTTACTAGATAGTTGATAATGATTCAAAATTCAAATTCAAAATTCAAATTCAAACTAATGATTAGAAAGCTCAGCCTAACAACTCACGATCTCCAGTTGGTGGCGATTGGGGAACCTGGATGGTTGGTTGAATAGGTGTTGGGATGGCCCATTCTGAAATTGTTTTGCAAAATGTTAAACCGTCAAACAAATGCTCCAATTAAAAACAAATGCTTCAACATTTTTTAAAAGAAAAAGCACTCACGATCAGGGGTCTGTTGAGGAGCTTGAGCTGGCTCTAAAATCGCGATTCAGCCAGCCAAAGTCAAAATCAAAGTCAAATTTGAGTCAAAAAATTTACTATTCTGGTCACTCTACTTTAAAGTAGAGCTCAAATTCCAGAACTCACTAGTAAGTAGTCAAGTCCAGAATCTCATAAGATGTGGCTTTACCTTGACCGCAGCTGGTTGGTAATCAGCTGATTGACTTACGTTGGATGAGGAGTGGCTGAGCGACGGGAGTGGGCAGTGGAGCTGGGAGTGGGATTGGTTGTTGAACTGAAAAAGTCCGTTATCCTCTATCGAGTCGTATCTACTTTACCCCTCCTTATCTACTTTACTCCTATTTACTTTACTCCTCCTTATCTACTTTACTAACGTTGTAGCGCCCACAATTTTTAACCTAAACACACAAATTCTATATCAAATGTTTCAAATCAAACGACGAATTTAATTCTCTACAAAATGACATAATATTGCCCTTATACATTAAACGGCTGTAGATTAAATGTTTGCCAAAAAATTGCATTCAAAATCGGCTACAACATATCTAATAGATCCTTTTAAGACCTACCCATTGGTGGGGATTGTGGCAGAACGGCTGGCACAACTTGTCCTCCATATCCTTGTTGTTGATATCCTCCTTGTTGTTGATATCCTCCTTGTTGGTATCCTTGGCTTCCATAGTTGTTTCCGTAGGCTAAAGGAATAAATTTTAAAATGAGAAATCATATAAATTTAAAGATAAACAAGTTACCTGGTGGTGAAGGTGGAGCCTGGTAGACTTGTCCGTTGTTGAACGGAGAGCTCACCTAGAAAAAAGGTAAAGTTAACAAACAAGAACAGTGACAAGTATTGAAAGAACAAATATTTGAGGTTCTTTACGAATAAGGGGAGGGGGCAGCGATTATCGGAGGGCGCGAGGGGGGTAAGTTTTTTGGCCAATTTCTAGCTCATTTTTAAGCATGTTAAACTTGTCAGATCAGAATGTTTTAATAAGATTTAGATAGCTTAGAACGTCAGCTTTTAGAAACTATTTGTTTTAGCAAAAGTTATTAACAAAAAGCTATCTAAAATCGAGCTGCAAGTTGGTCAAAAAACCTACCCCGCCCTGATAACCGTAAAGCACCATATTTTATATTGAAAGTTTGCAATAGAAGTATTGAAAGAACCAATATTTGGGTAATGAATGTGGTGCCCAAATTTTCCTATTACATTCAACTTCAATTGAAAGTTTAGCATTGACAATTTCACAAATAAAACACTTACATAGTTGGTGGGGCGTCCCTGGAAGGCGTCATTGGTGTATCCAGTGCTAAATTTAAGAGCTGAGTTTAAAGAGATTGATTGATTGATTGATTCATAAGCAGGTTAACTATATTTTCAATTAAAACCATACAATTTTAAGTTCTCTTACTTGGAATCCTGGCTTTCATATCCTCCACCATAGCCTCCACCATACCCTCCACCGTACGGGTGAGCAGCGGATCCGGCGATCAAAAGCGAGAACACTACCCAATTCATTATCTAAAAAGTAACGTTTCTTCTCTAAATTTTCAAAATTTATTTTGACTTTGACAAATTTTGACAATTTCTTTGACTTTTTCAATCAAATTTACAAGTTTTAGCTATTTTGGGACATTGAAAAATGACAGGGAAATTGACTGGTAAAAATTGAAAGTTCTGGGAACAATGTTAGACCTAAAAAGTCAATAGATAACTCTGAATGAGGTGTATAATATGTATCAGACCTAAAATCTAGGCTAGAGCTGATCTAGGCTAGAGCTGATCTAGACTAGAGCTGATCTAGGCTAGAGCTGATCTAGGCTAAAGCTGATCTAAGCTAGAGCTTATCTAGGCTAGAGCTGATCTAGGCTAGAGCTGATCTAGACTAGAGCTGATCTAGGCTAAAGCTGATCTAAGCTAGAGCTGATCTAAGCTAGAGCTGATCTAGCTAGAGCTGATCTAGACTAGAGCTGATCTAGGCTAGAGCTGATTTAGGTTAGAGCTGATTTAGGCTAGAGCTGATCAAAAGTATCTAGGCTAGAGCTGATCAAAAATGCTAGAAACATGTAGATTTGGTTTAAGAAGGTCAGAAATTGGACAAATTTGCAGAAAATGGTTTTCAAGGTTAAAACTGAAGAGAAATGATTGGGGATTTTCGTTATTCAGAACTTGGATCTCTTCTCCTTTTAAACCGAGAATATTTTGCCTGTCAACGATGAATCGACAAGTTTGTGTTGTCTCTTTTTCTTGCGTGAATTTCCGTCTCTGAGGAACCGATCGAATATCTTCTTGATCTTCAAATTTTAAAGCAAAAAAAGGTGATAAGCTTAACTTTTTCAAATTTAACTCCTGTCTTTGCTTCTGCTCTTGTCCTTTTCATGTTCTGATATCGAAATATGGGTGAGAGAAGGAGAAGCACCCTTACTTGTCGGTTATACATCCACAAAGACTCATCTCGGTGAAGCATCCCCATCCGAGTCTTCTCGGTTATCGATTTTGGTTCGACTGATCGACTGCCCACGTCAGACGACTGATCACTTCAGACTTCAGACTTCAGACTCTACTTCACCGAACATAATCACCTCTCACAAGTTGACAGCTTCTTGCTTAACCAACTTTCTGTGGATTCTGTGGAGTCTCTGTAAATGTATAACCGACAATTACCAGGAGAAATGTCTAGGAGAGTTCCAATTGGCAAAATGGATCGAGTGAATCGATTCGTCAACCCTAAAAACTCCCGGGTACAAATTTACAGCCCAATATCTTCTTTTTGTACAAACTACAAAGCAAAAGAAGCATTTCTAGAATCAAATCGATGAATGTAAATGACTGGAGAGTGTTCTTTGTACGGCTCTTTGCACGGGTACTTTGTTCTTTGTACGGGTCCTTTGTACGGGTACTTTGTACAGGTCCTTTGTACGGGTACTTTGTACAGGTCCTTTGTACGGGTACTTTGTACGGGTACTTTGTACAGGTACTTTGTACGGGTCCTTTGTAAGGGGACATTGTACGTAATCGCTCTCCATCTGGCACACCATTCCCATAGATGGGGATTCCTTTTTGCCTCCGTAAATCAACAGAGTTTTGAGCGGGGTTCGCTGCTTTGGGTGTCACTGTGCTCAAATCTTTTGGGACCAATTTTTGCCTTAAATTTGCCGGTGCTTTAAGCAAATTCCAGCCAAATCTAGCCAGACCTGGTCAGTCAAAAGTTTCCCTTTGTCCCTAAACTGTCCTTTTTTCATTTTTTACCTTTTCCTCTTTGTTTTTGATTGCTTTTCAAAAAGCTTCCTATTCTCTGATCAAAAAACTGATAACAGATAGATATAATTAAAAGATTTGAAGTTAGGTCATCCTTTTCTTTTATCATTCGATTTTTATTAAGCCATTCGATAATTTTTAAGTCATTTTGTAATTGAGCATCTAAAATTAGCTAATTTTTTAAGCAGAGCTAGTTGAACGCGGTCCGCTTGGTGATGTGGGTTTTTGGTAAATGCAATTCACGTTTTAACACTCGCAAGACATTATTTATTTATCACAGACAAAATTTTGAATTTCATTCAACAATTTCATTTTCTGGGTTTTGTCTTTCCGACATTGGTTCTCGAGGTTGTGGTGACTTTGCTTTGTGAAGGATTTCTTCTTGTCACTTTCGGTTTCTTGATCCCGCCACTATTGACGGCTCGTCGATGTTGCGTTTGTCGAGTGGATGGACCGGCTTGTGGTTCGGGAATTCTCGATCTTCTATTCTGTTCATTTCTTTTTATTGGAAGTATAGGTGCTTCGACTTCATCCTCATTTTCATTGGCTTCAATGTCTGGTCGTGGCGCCGCTGGCCGAGTGGGGTAAGTGATGTACTCTTCGTAGGCTGGAAATGTTTGTTTGCGTTTTTGATCAGCTATTTCTTTAGAATGTCTGCCCAACTTTGACCAGTTTTAAATTTAGCAAATAGTTGTGAAAAACAAGCAGCTTATCGCAAAATATTAGACAGAGTTCTATTATAAAACTTATTTATATTATAAAACACGTCACTTAAAATGGACAGAACTTTTCAGCCACTTAAATCACAGCTCAGAGCTTGAGTTTTCATCATTCAAAGCTTTAGGGATTATATTTTTTGATTTCTATAGACCCTAAAGACTCTATAGACACCAAACAAACTCATAAAGAATCTTTCTTTTCACCTGGAGCCATTGGCAAATGAGGATATGCGATATTAGATGGCAATCTGAGTTGAACTCCTTCTGACGTGGCCACCAATGTCATCACTCCCGAGTTTGGATTGTCTAAATAGGAATTCGAAAAATCAAATTTATAATTCATATTCTATAATTCCTATTCTATAATTCCTATTCCATAATTCCTATTCTATAATTCCTATTCTATAATTCATATTCTATAATTCCTATTCTATAATTCCTATGCTATAATTCATATTCTATAACTCCTATTCTATAATTCCTATTCTATAATTCCTATTCTATAATTCCTATTCTATAATTCATATTCTATAATTCATATTCTATAATTCCTATTCTATAATTCCTATCCCATAATTCCTATTCTATAATTCCTATTCTATAATTCCGATTCTATAATTCCTATTCTATAATTCATATTCTATAATTCATATTCTATAATTCATATTCTATAATTCCTATTCTATAATTCATATTCTATAATCCATATTCTATAATTCATATTCTATAATTCCTATCCCATAATTCCTATTCTATAATTCCTATTCTATAATTCATATTCTATAATTCCTATTCTATAATTCCTATCCCATAATTCCTATTCTACAATTCATATTCTATAATTCCTATTCTATAATTCATATTCTATAATTCATATTCTATAATTCGTATTCTATAATTCATAAAGTTTCAGAAAATTTTCTACACATCCCCAATTCAATTCAGAAAACTTTCGTAGAACATTATGCTTTAAGCAGTTAATTCACTGATCGTTTGATTAGGTCACAATTTCAGCAACGCCAAAATCCGCTTTCTAAATAGCAAAAATTTATCTATGGATTATAGCCAGCGGTGAAAACGATAGCCGATCAGAGAAAGCGGTTTTCTTTCAGAAAACCCTTGATAAGTAATGGTATTAGGAAAAAATTATCCCCGAGATTGTGCTTGAACTTCGCCGTTGTACGATTACAATTAAGGAGAAAATGGAGATCCATTTCAGTTGAGAACTTTTTTGATTCGATTTTTGGTAAATCCACTACGCGGTAAATCCGTAAATCCGTTAGTAGGGGAAGTTTCTGGAGGCGTTTTTAAGTGATAAGCAAAAAGGAAAACAAAAGAAAATGGAAAAACGGTTACCTATCTGTACTTCTTTTAAGAAATCGTTTAAAAAGTGTTTCAGTCAAAAAGGTTTAAATGCACATGAATTGTCTATCAATAGGTTACGGAAACTTTTCCAAAGTTAACACACTTGCAAAGCCACTTTTGGCTTGGTTGCCGTTTCGGACGACAGTTATCTATGTTGGCTACACTACTGGACAGTGAAATATTATATTTGAAAAAAGATCGTCACTTTCGCGCGTCTGTAACTTCCTTATCTTTGCCGTATTTCTAAATATTAAGATTACCATTGTGTAGCCGTTGAAAAGAGCTTTCAGAAAATGTATAACACTAATAGAAAATGTATAACACTCAAAGACAAGGGAGTTAAGGGCGCGCGAAAGTCACGATCGTTTTTCAAATATGATATTTCATTGTTCAGTACTGTATCTATATCTTGTTAATATCCAAAAATAGAGCAGTTATCTTTAAAAACTAATAACGGATTTGTATTCCTTGCCCCCGAAAACCCTTTGGTGCAAATTTTCAGCCCAATCTGCCTCAAAACAGTGCTAAATCAACGTAAGGCCTTCTGGTGGGCCGTATCGTCATAAATCCATTAAAAAAAGAAAAGCTTTTTGTTCTTTTTGTTACAAAACTCACTTTTTCCTGTATTTCCCATCAAGTACGAACCAATCGTCGGTGGCTCTTGTGACTTGCAGCAGAAAGTTTCCAACACTTGACTCCAAATGTCGTCACAGGAACAGAAAATCTGAAATGATTTCAGTTAACAACAGATTTAAAAAGCTCTTTTGTAGCTCTTTGTATTATAAGTTTGAAAAACTTAAAAACCAGTTTTTGAATCGTTCTGAAAATTTGGATATACCGTATTCTCTCTAATAGTAGTGCGCACTACTATTTTTTCTACCCCCTCTTGGACCGCAATACTATTAGGTTGATGCAAAAGTCTTTTTCATTTTTTCGTACTTCCGTTAAAAAGTAACAAATGCACCAATTGAACAACGGTTTATTGCATTCGAAAGGCCAATTATTTTTCTGCAAAATGACATTAAAACGAGTTTAAAATGTCTTATGTCTAGATTTTTTTGAGAGCCTGAAGTCGGGTAGTCAAAAAAGGCGACGGCTCGATGATGCATTTTAGACGCTTTAGCTAAGGAAACCAATCTTGATGTTAATAAATAAAAGATAGAGCACAAAAAGTTAGATATCTTTTCAGATTTTCAGAGAAATTGATTCAGCCAATTTCTTTATAGAGGTTTTTATAGATTTTTATGAAAAACCCGTTTTCACTCTCGAATTTGCTTGAAAGTGAACCCAAATTGACTTAAAAAGATGGGAAATTGAACAATAAACACTTTTCATTTAGAGCAAACCATAGGTTAATTGATGACTTTGTTATTTTTCAAAAGAAGTACGAAAAAAATGAAAAAGACTTTTGCATCAACCTAATATTAAAGAGTGCACTACTATTAAAGAGGGCACTACTATTAGAGAGAATACGGTAAGCTTAATTTTTGCTTCTCTACAACTTTTCCATTGACACCAAAATGGGTTTCTTTTGAAGAAAGTGCTCAAACTGTCACATATGAGAATAGCCCACAGTTTTCAATTCACCAACCCAATATGTTCTTTAAAAACTATGTACTTTGGCTAAACTTTACTGGTGCATATCAAATCCTTAAAGTTCCCATTGTCATATGTGATTCATACATTCATTGCAGACTTCGAATCATAAAGTTTCCGTTTCTATTTCGTTTTGTGCATTGTACTTGTCACCTTTTTTTTTCTTCATTTAGATGGACTTAGATCAGTTTTTTTTTCCTTTTGAAGCTGTAAAAACCCTTTTTATTGCTTTGTTTCTAAATCCTCGCGTTATTGAACTAATAAAAGGAACTAATAAAAGCTTCTTACGAGATCGGATTCAAGATAGTGAAATTGTAAAGTAAAATTTCCATTCCATCATCCAATCGATCAACTTCGATATTCATGTAAAACCCCCTCACTTTAAATTACTTTCCCCACATTTCCCCTCTCTCAAACCACAAATCACTCTAGTTTTTCGATTTTCAATTTCATAGATGCAAGTTCACCGTTATTCACTAATCCCAGGGAATTTCCAATTTTTAGCATTAGAAAGGAAATCCGATTTTGTGAATTGAAAGCATGTGACTCAAGTAAACAAGTTTATCCAAGTAATTTTCGAGTTTTTAGGTAGAAAATGAAAATTTTCAGCTATTCTTTCCACGTATCACTTTTGATGTTTTTGATTTTGCTAAAAGGTGGATTAGAGGAAAATGTTGTTTCTAAAAAATTGCAATCTTACCACCCAGCAAGTTCTCACACGTGAGTTTTCTCTTTCTCGTGATGAAATTTGGGCTTGAGCCAAGAGATTTTTATCTTTTTTGCTTTGGGAAACAAAGACTACAAAAAGTAGAAGGGAAGTGGAGGAGAACAGGAAGAACTAGTAAAGAAAAAGTAAAGAAAAAGGAAATTCTAGGAAGAGTCACAAGTTTGTTGATCTCTTTTACGTCTTCTGATGAAACAAAGAAGTAAATCACAGCGCCACAATTTGAAAAAGCTCATTCTCCAACAGCACAACGCCAGTTCACTGCTCTTTAAACGGATCTTTTGGTTGTCAATAAATATTGCTTGAATTTACGGTCAAGACTTAGTGTACAACAAGAACAGTACTAAGCAGTACTAGAACAATACTAAGCAGTACTAGAACAGTACTAAGCAGTACTAGAACAATACTAAGCAGTACTAGAACAATACTAAGCAGTACTAGAACAGTACTAAGCAGTACTAGAACAGTACTAAGCAGTACTAGAAGGTACTAAGCAGTACCAGAACATGGTAGAAAAGCACATAAAAAAGTAGTTGCTGACTCAACTCCTTGGACTAATCAAAATCGGGGTTGTTCCTTAACAAATTGAAACTTGTTTAATGTTCGAGAATGAAGATCGATCGGGTGTCTACTAGAGAGCTTGAAAATGCAGATATTCTTCAAAAAATTTGCCAAAACCCCGGATTTCTTTGCGTGAAATTGCGGCTGAGATTAGATACTCTCCTGTAATAGTTGAAAAGCACCTATACTATGGATTTTAAACAGATTTACTGTTAATGGGTGCCCCACAACATCATCGGCCCTATGGAAGAGAGAGCTCATCATTTGCCGCTGCCCTTCTTTCCAAATGCGAGAGGAAATCTTTCTTGTCACGTGTAGTGACGGGAGATGAGAAGTGGATTATGACTTCAAACTTTCAGAGAAAATGCCAGTTTGTGGGACCTGCAGTAACACCAGCAAAGGATGTGCTCCCAGAACCCCAACAGAAGAAGTACATCCTATCAGTTTACTGGGATCTCTTGTTGTCATTTATTGGGAGCTTCTCGATAATAAGCAGACAATGAATGCTCTATTATGCAGCGATCAGCTCAAAAAACTCAATGAGAAAATTAAGGAAAAGCGCTATGATTTGAAAAAGGTCATTCTCCAACACGACAACGCCAGTTCGCATACGGCAAAGTTGACCCGCTTTTTTTAAAGCAACTTTTAAAGGCAAAGTTGACCCGCTCCACAATCCACGAGTTGAACTGGGAACTCTTATCCCATTCACCACGATCTTAACCCGCTCTTGATTGGGCCACGCGGACTATACCTCAGCCCCAAAACATCCAGTCATAAAAACCCGTCGTTAGGCACGACACATTCTTGCTGTTTTATCCCTTACCATAATCGGCGCCACAAGAGGATAAATAAAGGACAACCAAGTGAGAAGAGTGTCGAGATCTTGCTGAATCGTCACACCCGATTGCAACTCTTTCGAATCGCAAATCTAAACTTTTCAAACTTTACTTCAAACTGGAAAATTCTTCTTTCAACATTTTCTATTTTCAGAATTTCAGTCCCCCGCGAAATCGTGTGTTTTCCCATTGCCCATTTTTACCAAAACATGCAAATCTTTTTTTCCATTTTATGAATCATTTTCTCAAAATAGAAACACTGGTAAGATTTTGGTCTCGAAAAATAACTTTTAATGGAAATGGTAAGTAAGAAATGGAAATTTTGGACCTCTAAAATCAATTCGAGTACAATGTAGGGGCCGACGATGAGGACATAGGCACAGAAGAGACGGATCGTCTGAAATGTTGATAGGATTGTTTATTCTAAAGGATTTCTTCCCATATTTCTAAAGAATTTCCCTTTTCATTTCTAAAACGACCTCTTGAGATTGTTGGCTATGCGGATGAGTGTTAAAATCTCCATCAGACGCTCTAAGTGGCGTTAATCTTTTCAGGATAGTTTGCAGATTTGTCGCCCTTTTTTGGTCATTCGTTAGAAAACATGGAATGAGATAAAATGTTCTATAAAACTTCCTGACCAGATAATCTTTTTGCAAATCTTTTCATGATCTTCAAAGCTTGTCATGATCTTCCAAGCTTACCATTTTTCCGAGTAATGTATCCTCTTGCAGAGCTCGGGTTTTCGTGATGAAAAGGGTGAACTCGTGTGACTGTTGGGGGATGCTCGAGATCTAAGCTTTCAAATTTCGATCCAAATATCTTGTCTGATTAATTTTTACAAAATTTTCACCTCACCTGTCTTCTAGTGTAAATGGCTCCAGTGCAAATGAGCATTCCAGACAGAATGATTAAGTAGAGAAAGATTTGAGTGGCTGGGCGATAGATTGGAGCCATTCTAAGAATCAACTTGAGTCATAAGAATTCCTCAGAACTATACTATGTCAGAATATACTGTATTTTAATCAAAAGCCAATAAACTTACACCCCAATTGAGCACAAATATCGATTGGTAAATGCTTGCACGGGGATCACTGGAAACAAGATTGGGACCGTCAAGCAAAGAGCGATGACGATTGTTGTAGAGATTATAGCTGAATTTTAATTCTTTTTGTTTCAAGCCTTGTTTTACCAATTGTCTTCATGCCGCCAAATAGTGGGAAAGGCTTTTGCGTGATAGTCGTGGCTCTCTCCGTGGCCATCGTGAGTAGAATCAGCGTTCCGAATAAGGCGCAGAACTGAAAAAAGGCAGCTCATTCGTTAAGTAATGCTGAAGTTAGTCAAGACTTTAGTTCCTTGAACATTTCTTTGTCCAGCTATTAACTGTTCTGTCCAGCTATAAAGTAAGTAACTGGGCAAATCACTAGGGAACTAGGAAACGTTTAACAAATAGCAAAAGTCCTCACTTTACTCCTCTTAACTAGAAAGTTTCTAAAAGGATAGCCAAAGATAAAGCTACCATAAGCTTTTATGAGTTAGAGTTATTACCGAAAGCTTGTCACCAGTGCAATTGATTTATTATCAAGATTTAAATTCTAGAATTCTTTTTAATTTAAACCTCTATTAGAGTCTCCAAAAGGTCCTTTTCATACTTCTGTTGAGGAATCACAAATTCACCAATTAACCTATGGTTTGTTTTATTAGAAAGAATCATTAGAAAGAGTCATTAGAAAGTATTTTTCTGTAAAATAACATTAAAACGGGTTTAAAAGATCTTAAGTCAGGATTTTTTGAGAGCATAAAGTCGGGTAGTCAAAAAGAACGACGGCTTGATGACGCGGACAGTTTAGCTTTAAAAAAAGACATACTTTAGCTAAGAAAACCTATTCTGGTGTCAATAGATAAAAGATAGAGCGTGAAAAGTTTGGTATCTAGCCAAATTTTCAAAGAAATTGGTCCAGCCAATAGACGTTTTATAAATTTTTACGGAGAACACTCTCGAATTTCCTACGACTCTCAAAAAGCACTTTTCCCTCTCGAAATTGCTTAAAAGTGAACCGAAAATTGACTTAAAAAGATGAGAAATTGAACAATAAACACTTTTTATTTAGAGAAAGCAAGAGGTTAATTGGTGAATTTGTTATTTTTTAATGGAAATACGAAAAGAAACAAAAAGCCTAATAGAAATCTCAAAGCTGAGTCAACTTTCTCGAGTTTCCAATTGCATTTTCATTTTAATCTTCTTTGCATTTTCATCCAACCATTTTCCTTTCCATTACCTGCTGACAAAAAGCATTTCCCCTGCAAAGGAAATCGCCTAAAGTCCAAGTACCATTAGCTACAAAAATAAGTGATGGGAGGAGAACGGTGAAGAGAAAAACGATATGGAGAGATGAGAGGAGCACAAGGAGACGACGGAAAAGAGCAGCACGCAACTTTTTACTGAAAAATATAAGCAAAGATGAATTTTTAATGGTTCTATTTTGGTCCTATCGCTTACCCGGCTAAAATCGCCGCGATAACAACAAGATTTAGGACGAATGATGATATGAAGAGAACGGAGAGGAGAATGGCGCTCGAGGTGCGGAGACTTGTTGATTGGGTTTGCTGAAAAGTCAGGAAAGATTCTTTATAAAGTTTTTAGTGCTTATTTGACTTTATAGATTGATTTTAAGGACTTTATCGATTCCTAATTTGATCTTTAACGATATCCTATCGTTTTCAAAGTTTTTCAAAGGTTTTCAAAGTCTCCACTTACCGCAAGTGCTATGTCGGCGATCGTATCCGTTGATGGAACATATTCAACACTCGATATACTCATAGCAATAGCAGTTAATCGATCAAAACAAGAAAGAAAAAGAATTTCATGCTTTTATTAAGTTTAGAATCTTTTTCTTTAAGAAATTATAAAGGAATTGATTCTTTCGATTGGAAAAAGGGGAGCAATTAGTTGGTTTTGATGTTGCGCGTTCTTTTTCCCCATTCCCTTAGCGGCCCTCCATGGCAACACGAGAAAAGGGGGCCCACGAAGCCCAATACTATTTCAATAGACAATATTTCAATAAACAATACTTCAATAAACCCAATACTATTTCAATACTAAAATTAGGAATACAAATGTCAAATGACAACAAAAAATCCTCCAAAATAGTCTCCAAAGCATTAAACTATTTTTTTGTGTGTAATAAAGAAATAAAAGAGATGGAATACGACAAAATGAACACTGCGAATCGATTCCTCGACCCAGAAAACCCCCAGATACAAATTTGTAGCTTCAAATCTCTTCTTGAGCCATTTTCAGAACAAAAGATCGACGCTGTTTAAAATGATCGACGAGATGTTCTTTGTGCGGCCACTTAATCGCTCGTCATCTGGCATAAGACCCTGGTATATAGGCTTCCCTTCTGGAAGCTGAAAAGGATGTAAACTGAGGGAGTTTCACCGTTTTGAGCGGCGCTAGGCTCAAATTCTTTGGAACTATTTTGCCTTGAATTTTGATGGCCAAATTCTATGCAATTAAGCCATTCTTTTTACTTAAACAGTAGTCGAAATTAAGCCAAAATGTAATCATCCAAAGAGTCGAACTGGAAGTTGAAAAGTTAAAGAAAATTTTCGACTTACTCAAGCTTTCGTGTCTCTCGATAGGTATCTTTTTGTTCGGCATCCCTGGGAAAGATTTTTGCGCCAATTTTGATTATAATTTTTGATTATAATTCAAAGCCAAAGCTGTCAATTTTGATTGTAATTCAAAGCCAAAGCTTATAAGTCAAAGCCAAAGCCGCCAAATCTTTGATTCATCCAAAGGACTTGTCGGCAAAGAACTAGCAAATGAAAAGCAATGACACTCGACAAGGGTACGACAAAAAAGTTTAAGGGATTTAAATAAGACCCAAGTTTAGTTGTGGACAATTATTGGATATTGAAACTCACCAAACTTATCACTTTTCGCCCTTTCACTAAACTTGGCAAGTCTTTAAGTTTGACGGAACTTACATGAATCTCGTTAATGTGGAAACTGTGAATTTCTTGGCTCAAAAGATCAACTTTCTTTCAGGTCACCTCTGAAGATAAACTGATGAAAAATCCGATTAGGTAAAACAAAAAAAGGAAGATTTATTCTCAACTTACACACAATTCTGATGAATAACTGTAGTGCCATGGTGTACCCGATGTGTGACTAATAAACAGAATTCAATCTCTTTTTGAATTGTTACATTTCATGATATTGGTTTAAGAAGCAAAATCTATTCTTTTTGCAAAAAAAGAGGGGGGGGGGGGGGGAAAAAAAAAAAGAAGGGGGGGGGGGGGGGGGGGGGGGGGGGGGGGGGGGGGGGGGGGGGGGAAAAGGGGAAAAGGGGGGGGGGGGGGGGGGGGGGGGGGGGGGGGGGGGGGGGGGGGGGGGGGGGGGGGGGGGGGGGGGGGGGGGGGGGGGGGGGGGGGGGGGGGGGGGGGGGGGGGGGGGGGGGGGGGGGGGGGGGGGGGGGGGGGAGGAGGGGGGGGGGGGGGGGGGGGGGGGTTAAGAATTTGAGCCGAAGTTGTGCAACAAGTTAATTAAGATCCCACTTTTTTAAGAACAAATTCATTCAACGAATAATGTGGTGCAAACAATACACAAGCACAGGGATGTACACAGATTGGCCACCGCCTCCAGCTAAACGGCGAGGCTAAGTGCCCTGTATCTTCTTCGGAAGGTCAAGGGTTCAATTCCGCCGGCTAGATTATTCTTTTTTCTCATATGTATGAGTTTTTTCCTACATTTAGGACTTACTAGGGATGCACACTGACCACCGCCTCCAGCCAAACGACAACATTCATTTTATTGGAAAAAATTCCCTGAATAGGTCTCCGGTATGCCAGAAGACAAAATTTGAGAGAATTGCCTCAAAGATGATGATTTTTGAAAGGTTTTTGCAAATTTCTGGCACACCATTTGTGTCCAGCTTCTAGTGCTTAATTACGAAATCGATTTCTATGAGCAAATATACTTTTAGCTGTTCCAAACGAAAGCCTTGTTGGTCTTGAAAAGAGTTTTCAATCATTTTACATGATGACAAAAAAGTTTGTCCGTGATTGCTATCGAACCAGAGAGCAAAAATGCATATGACACCTATACTACTAACCACTAAACCACAAGGCACTGTTCGAGAAGGCGTAATTGAGATTGGAAGCTGGACGCAAATGAAGTTCGAAAAAACCTTTCAAAACTTATGAACTTTGGAGTCATTTTCTCAAAAAAACTTTGTCTACTTAGCCAATAAAATGGATGTTAAAATGGATCCTAAAATGGATCCGACAACATCCAATAAAATGGATGTTGTCGTTTAGCTGGAGGCGGTGGCCAATCGGTGGCCAAAATGGCCTAAATGTGTCTAAATGTGTCCTAAATCTGTGTGCACCCCTAAATGTAGGAAAAACAAACTCATATGAGAGATAAATATGAGAAATATGAGAATAATCTAGCCGGCGGGATTGAACCCACGACCTCTCGACGAAGATACCGCGCTGTGTAATACCAGGCTCTTAGCCAGTCGGCCATGATCGTTTGCAGAAGATGAAAATCCATCTTGAAGCTCACAGCGGTCCAAACTGGAGCCAAAGAAGTTATCCTTTGACATTTCTGCCTGCACAATTGACTGAGAAGACTTTGATTGTTAACTAAAACTTTGAAATTTGTCATATCGAAGCTGTGTAGCTCTCAGCATAACTGCAAAAATTGCAAAATTAAGCCAAAGAACTTTTCTTGGTGCTGTTTCACGTTCTAACACACTTAAATTCGATTCCAAACTTCTCAAACCACCCATTCACTTTGCTTTCCCTTTTGAAATCAACTCTCAATCTAATTCCAATATTTTCAAACCCCTTCCCCTCATTTTCTTCTAATATTTTTTCCTTTTTTTTCATTACACATCAAAAATAGTTTCGATTGGTACAAAAACCTTTCCATTCTCATTGTTTTTCCCTTTTGAAAGTAAAGGCACAAAGCGAATGAAACATGACGTGTGTTTTTTCCAAAGAAAAGAATATTTGTGGTGGTTTTCCCCAAATCCCGGGATAATTCCCATATTCTGATCTTAAAAAGTTTTTCCCACTCAAAAAAGCTAAAATTTCCCCTGAAAAACAAGTATGCGTGGTTGGTTACTACTAAATTTTTGGCAGAATGCGAAATCGAATCGGAAGTTGCGTATCATTGGCTTCCGATAAATATCTGGTAGTAATTAGATGAATGTATTGGAGTTCAAAATTGAAAGCTAGAAATAAGTAAGTACTGAAACGAAAACAAGGTAAAAATAACGCAGAACAAAGTTTTTTTAGCATAAATTTTTACTACAAAGCTTGATCTAGTCGCTTGATGTCGCAAGTCGCAAGGCGCTTGATCTAGTCTCCAGAGAATCAGATTCCAATGAACTTTCTTTTATTTAAAAGCCAAGACTTTAAGCTATTAATGATCCTCATCACTAATATTTTTCTTTTGAGAAATTGGGTCAAAAATCTCAAGGAGATAACGATGAATTGTCTACAGATTTGCAGCTATCTATGTAGACCTAAAAACTTGTAATTGGAGACATTCTAAGATGAAAAATCTAAATCCGTTATTAGTTTTTGAGCAAATTTAATTTCCGAGCCAATACGGTCATCACAAAACTCTCTAAAATTTGGGTAATTAAACCAAATCACCCAAAAACCAAAACCAGCCAAAACCAAATTTAGGTTTTGTCCTTTATGTCTAGAGCCAGTAGCCGCGCGATTATGTAAACAGGAAAATTTTCACGTTTTTGTAACGCACCTTCTGCTTTCGATATGGGGTCCAAGTTGGGTAATTAAACCAAATAAAATATTTAAAAATAGAGCAGTTTTCTTTAAAAACCAAGTATTCTAATTCCTTGACTCCGAGGACCCCCTGGTGCAAATTTTCAGCTCCAGCCGTATCGTCGCGAATGTGTCAGAACAAAGTCAAGAAAGCCACCATCTGGAAACTTTATTTCTTGATTTTCTTTCTGATTAATCTAGTTTTGACGATTATCTTCTGCTTTGTGAATGGCTCTTCATGAGATTTCAGCGCAGAGATGGTGGATTAGCCCTTCGAATTGGCGATGTTCTTGGTGCGATTCGAAAGCCTAAAGCCCAAGGCCAGCTCGATTTTTGTCTAACGGTTTTGTATTTTCTTGGCGGCTTTATTTTGCCCATCGTTGTATATTGCAACTATTTTAGAATAGCTCAGTTTGTGCTTTAAATCTTGTCCCTTTTTGGCATATTCCTAATTATTTGGATGTTGGTTTTTCTATTTAATGGTTTTTCTATTTAATGATTCTGCGATTGTGGCTTATACATTACATTATTAAAATCTGCAAACAATTGTTTCAATTTAGGCAAAAGCTATACAGAAAATGAAGCAGTTTGTGGAAAGAATGGCGGCAAATTGGTCCTACTCAATGATGCTTTTAAAAACACTCTTTTAGCAGCTTATGTAAAACAGTGTAGGTTTTAAAACAGCTCAAGATACAACTAACAGATCAGCTCTCACAACAGATCGAGCAATGATCGGTCTTCATCGCAACCTTTCCTCATCAGATCCATCATGGAAATGGTCGGATGGCAGTTCGCCTGTGTATCTTCATTGGGCTTTTAGTGAGTGCTTTGATCTGAAGATTTAATATCATCTTGCATTGGGAAATAGAAATACTTTAGACAACCCTGGATCCAACAGCTCTGTTTTTACATTACTACAATGTTTCAGCTTATTCTTAATATGTTTATCTTTGTTCTAATTGTGTATTTTCCACTAGCAATTCGCTGATCTATTAATCGTTTTAGAGCTTTAGCAAAGAATGTTTAAACATCATTTTTAGAAACGAATGACATCAAACCTTAGATGCTTATTGTTCTGTTATTCAAAATTACAATAATCAAAAATATGAACAGAGGATCTACACTGAATTTCCCCTCTCCGAAAATCTGCTTTTTCTTGTCAATTTCTTCAATTCTTTCTTGGAGAAGCTGTGCTTTTAAAGTGCCAACAGCCGGCTGGTCTATTTGCAGGTCTATTCTAGATTTATTTGCAAGTCCCCCAATCAACACTCTTTTCAATGGACAGACGTCGATACCGAGATTTCCGTACATTTATTTTCGGCATCGGATGGCCACTTTTTGGGATGTCTAGCCAGTCGCTGTTTCCGTAATTTCCTTAGCGAGAAATTGGCTTTGGTCTTTTTCTTTTTACGGCTTCAGAAAAGAGAAAAGAGACCGACCTAGTCTCTATCAAAAGATAGACAAAAAGAATGGAAGATAGACAGAAAGAAGACGAGTCCTGGGAGTCCATTTCAGAAAACCCCTTCACTTTTCGGCTTTCTTTTCCATCGATTCACCAAATGGTGACGTTGAATTCGTGTGAATACGTCTGTCTCTCTAGAAAAATTACTTCTATAAATATTTCGATATTTCTCTCCGAGTGAAAGATGAGCCCCATCCGGTTTTTCTAGGGAAAAGAGATTATTCTTAAAGCTGAAATGTTCGTCAGGGATTAGACGAAGGTTTTGGGGGGAAAAGCCGAGAATAGGTCAAATGAGAAAATGAAACAGATAGCTATTTAGGGGAAAAGAAAGATTTGTTCGCAAAAGGATAAACGGGATAAGTGGAAATTCCGTTTGAACTTTTTGGCAAATTACACGTGTGAGTTTTTGAACTGTGGGGAATGTGGGGAAGATTGTGTTGAATGTCAAAGGGTTTAGTGTGTTTTGTGTATTTAATAGGTAAACTTAATAATGACGCGTTTATGTAACAAATCATTTATTTCAAAAAAAAAAACCCAAAAGAAGAGCTTTCAATTCGAAAGGTATTCTCCATTAGTATCTATGACTTCTTCCCATCTTCTGCGCAAATCCCGGATCCCATTCTCGAAGAACTTGGGAGTTTTTGAGGCGAAGTAGTTTGCTTATGACCTGAGCACGAACATCGAACTTTCCTGCCTCCAAAAAGTGCTTCAGCGACCGAAACAAAAAGTAATCTGAAGGAGCCAAGTCGGGAGAGTAATTTGAACGTTCGCACCTGCGTGGGGCAGCACTTTCCAGCCAATTTCCTCCATTTTCTTATAAGTGATCTTTACAGTGCGAGGTTTTGCATTTGCAAAAATCTGACTCTCTCCGGTTTGAGCCCCAATTTCTTCAAAGACTCGTTAACTCTCATTAATTGCTTCGAATAAAGATCAGCATCGACGGTTTGGCCAGGCTTCAGCACTTCATAATGCACCAATCCCTTGAAGTTCCGCCAGCAACATAGCATTATCTTCTTCCCATGGATATCCGGTGGATATGCTTTTATGACCTGAGCACGAACATCGAACTTTCCTCCCTCCAAAAAGTGCTTCAGCGACCGAAGCAAAAAGTAATCTGAAGGAGCCAAGTCGGGAGAGTGAGGTGTGAGGGGCAGCACTTTCCAGCCAAGTTCCTCGATTTTCTTATAAGTGATCCTTGCAGTGTGAGGTTTTGCGTTGTAAAAATCTGACTCTCTCCGGTTTGAGCCCCAATTTCTTCAAAGACTCGTTAACTCTCATTAATTGCTTCGAATAAAGGTCAGCATCGACGGTTTGGTCAGGCTTCAGCACTTCATAATGCACCAATCCCTTGAAGTTCCACCAGCAACAGAACCCATCCTCGAAGAACTTGGGAGTTTTTGAGGCGAAGTAGTCATTCACTGCTTTTATGGCCTGAGCATGATCATCGAACTTTTCTCCCGTGATAAACTGTTTCAGGAACCGAAACAAAAAGTGTTACACAATAAAATACAAAAAACACGCTAAGTAGTGACGTGTCGCCAAATATGTATTAAGTTGCCAACCTAATAGATGGTTAAGTTCGATTAAGAAAATTTGGACGTTCAAATCAAATTGGACGTTCGTTTAAGAATGGATTTAAATTAAACGTCCAATTAAGAATACATTAGGGGAAAGCTTTTAAACCCGATCTGTTATCAAATCCGATCTGTTATCAAATCCAATCTGTTATCAAATCCGATCCGTTATCAAATCCGATCTGTTATCAAATCCGATCTGTTATCAAATTCGATCTGATATCAAATTCGATCTGATATCAAATCGATCTGGTATCAAATCCAATCTGATATCAAATCGATCTGATATCAAATCCGATCTGTTATCAAACCCGATCTGTTATCAAATCCGATCTGTTATCAAACCCGAGCTGATATCAAATCCAATCTGATATCAAATCCGATCTGATATCAAATCCAATCTGATATCAAATCCGATCTGATATAATCATATCAATGTAATGTTCAACAAATAATAATAAGGTTTCTAGACGAAAAGAGAAAGAGCTTCACAAGCCGTTTGTCACTTATCTGATCTTCGATTTGGTTAGAGTAAATAAAGAACAATTTGACATGGGAGCACTCAAAGTGATCACAAAAATGTTGTCACAATTGCAAGTGAACGGAAATTTTCGGCAATCACAATAAACAATCCACAATACCGATTTGTGTGCTGGACTTGGGTTCAGATCGGATCTGAAATGTGATATCACAAAATTTCAGCTTTTTGAATGTATTCAAATCGTTCAAAGCTTTCCGATTTCTTTCGTTCCCTTAACATTTTGATCTCAACACCGACGCTGATATTTCGCTGATTCATCAATCCCAAAGTTTTCTAAAAATTCCCCACAAATCCAAATCTGAGCAACGTCAGCTTGCAAAAACCCTTATCCTCCGCTGATCTGATTAAAATTTCAATTTAATTTTGAAATTCCTGATGCGATTCTTTCCAAATCCTTTTGAATTAGGTGACATTGCAAAAAGTTGATTCGTTAAATTTAATTTGTAGTCAGTGATAAATGATGAGTTTGAAAAAATCGAGGAAATTCCCTAAAGCAATGAATAGATGAAACACACACGTGAATTTCATCAGATTAGCAACTTACAAACAAGAAGCTTTTTGTTTGTAGAGCAATATTGGTTGTGAAAACGGTTATTATTATTCGGTTGGTGGATTGAAAACTGCAGGACTTTGAACTAAAATTTATTCAACATAAAACCATGAATTGATTCCAAATAATTTCCAGTATTATTGACGACTTCTGCCCATTTTACGGGCAATTTGCGGATTCCTCTTTCGTGGTAGGATTTTGGTTTGTGTGTGAGACAAGTGTGAGACTCAAAAATGGAGGACTGAACTTTGAGAATGATGTCCCAGTTTGAGCACTTTCTTCAAAAGAAACCCATTTTGGGGTCAATAGAAAAGTTGTAGAGAATCAAAAATTAGGCTTATAGCCAAATTTCCAAAAAGATACACTTAGTAGTTTCGCTTAAAATGCAAGTTTTGTGAAAATTCGTAAATTTCTTGAAAACCAGTTTTTGAATCGTTCTGAAAATTTGGATATAAACCTAATTTTTAATTCTCTACAACTTTTCCATTGACACCAAACTAGATTTCTTTTGAAGAAAGTGCTCAAACTGTCACATATGACAATAGCCCAAAGTTTTCAATTCACCAACTCAATAGATTGTCAACTTGAATTTTGGTACACTTATTCATTGCACTTTTTAGAAATAACTAGTGCATCAATGAATTTACAGTTTTGACCAATAAGGAGGCCCATTTACTCTGTAAAACATGCTTTTGACAGATTTAGGAGAGCTTCGGTTTTGTAGATTTTGTAGGGGGCAAAAAGTTGAGGAACCAAAAATGATGAACACTCGATGAAAGGATTTGAGCCCTTTCTTCCACATAAACCTACTTTAGTGTCAATAGAAAAAAGATAAAGCATGAAAAGTTAGGCACATAGCCGAATTCTCGACTAAATCTAATCAATCATTTTTCTTAAATTTCCATTTGAAGAATTTCCAGAAAAACTTGAATTTCTGCTCAAATTCATTTCAAAAGTTACCCAAATTTGCATGTCTTAAATTAGCTAATATATAACTTTTATTTAGAGAAGTCTAATTCAATTCGACTTGACTTCAATTGACTTGACTTCAATTGACTTGACTTCAATTGACTAAATATGTTTTATGGAAAATACAAGAAAGTGTACCAACTTTCAAGTTACCAATCTAATAAAATAAATGGGGATTTGTTGAGAAAATCTTTGGATTAGTGTGTGTTCCTCGCTGCTTTGCGGGTGGCTGTGTGTTCCTCGCTACTTTTGCGACTTCGGGTGGCTACTTTGCGCCAATTTTTTTGCGCAATTCGTCCTAACTTTTCTTCTAAGTGATTCTAAGTAATCTTTCAGTGACATTTTTCAGTGATTACAGTGTCATTTTGTTTCATTTGTTGAGATCTACATTGTGGATTCTGATAAGGCTCACAGTTTTGGATACAGTACATTTTCAAAGCCTGAAGAACCATCATTTGTCATTTCCAGGAGCTCTATTTAGTTTGTAGATCCAGTTGTGTTGAATTTAAATTTAAATTCAAATTTAGATTGTAATTTAAGCAAAAATTCGATCCTTAACTTTTCCGGTACGTTCAACGTTTCGATGATTGAATGATCTTGAATCTTAAATGATCCTTAATCTAGGATGATTCACCGAAGCGGGCAAATGATGAGTGCATCTAGGTCAAGGTTCAATTCATCTAGGTCAAGGAAGAGCTAGGTTCAATTCATTCATTCCAATTCATTCCAATTCATTCAATTCATTCAATTCATTCAATTCATTCAATTCATTCATTGCTGCTGGTAGAATCTGAGAAGTTGAAATATTATGAAACTATGCTTGAAAGTATGCTTGAAAGTATGCTTGAAAGTATGATTGAAAGTATGATTGAAATTATGATTAAAAATTATGATTGAAATTATGATTGCTTATTGAACAAGACAAAACCTAAACTCTGGTCAGATCAAGAACGGGATTTGGAGATGGTAACGTGAGCACATTCGCACTCACATTCACTTTTCCAACGTCCAATGTTGCTAACTAGTCGAAGCTACACCTAATTTTAAATCGTCCCTATACTTAAAAAGATTTAAATGTGTTTACCATTGTTTCACAGTGATTTTCCAATCTCTAATTAGACAAAATTCCTTTCCTATTAGAAACTTTCTAGTGATCATTTCCTTTTTAGGGATCATTTATTTTTGTGATCAGATTAGTGATCAGTCTCCCCTTTAGAACCTATTTTAATCAAAATCGCTCAAAGATTTTATCAATTAAACGCATTTCCCTATTTTTGACCAAGAAAATTTTTCTAGATCTCTCAAAAAAAGCATCGTTTATCATTTCTCGCAATCTAGTGGATCCAGAAATAGAAACCACCTTGAACTATAAATATCACTTCGTAAATCCCCGACATTTTTTCCCGATTCTCATATTTTTGAGAAACCTTGAACCTTTCTAGATTAGAAAAATAAGATTTGATGACAAAAAAGGGAAAATTCATGAGCTATGACTTCTTGGAGCTTGTTGTAACGTCAATATTCCCCCCGCATTGTCTTATCGCTGAATAACAAACAAAATATAGAATACCTAGAAGAATACAAGGAGAAAACAAGAAGATTTTTACAAGAAAACAAGAAGATCCGTACAAAGCACAAGAAGATCTTTGTCTTTTCGTTGAATTTGAGGGATTTTTGGGAAATCTCTGCTGGAGTGAGGCTACATCATCATTTAATCATCATTCAATCCATTCTCAATCACCGGAAAGCGCTGAAATTGAAAACTTTGAATAAAATCCATTAAAATCCCCAGAATTGACAAAAAGACAACATTAAGTTTGACAAAAAGAAATCTCAAGTTGAGATTTGTTTTTAGAAACATGTATTCACAAAAAGAAAACCCGTGACTTTCCAGCGAATCTATTTACTGAGCACATAGGAAGTGAAGTTATGAGCACAAAGTCTATTCGAACAACTCAATTTAGATTAGGGAGTTAATCTTTTAGTTAATTTCTGCTTTTTGTGTACTTACTAGTGAAGCTTTGACTTTTTTAAAAGTAATAATGACTGTACAAATAATAAACTTAAGAATTGATCTATTTTTTCCTGCAAGCCTTTTTGTTTCTTTCATATTTCCTTGATTTGAAAGAGTAAAGAGTCAAAAAAATGTTGCAAAACCCACGGAAAGGTCAAGAGTTTCCGGGTGAAAATTTCAGAAAGAAAAACTAAAGAATGAATGGACAACCTTTCAGAAAAAGATTGTCATCAATCAAGGGTAACGTGCGGAAATTGTGTGCCGAGATTCTAAGTTCTAAAAGAGAACAAAAGTGAAAAGGTTAAGAAATTAAGAAATTAGAATTTACAGGGCCTAGATTTACATTGACAGGGTTATTA